ATTAAAAGTAAATTATAACCTTCAATATCGTCCACAATCTCGTTTATAGTTGATGCAGACCGTCCAAACTCGATACGCATCGCTTCAATCTCTTTGAAGAACGAACGCCCTCTTTCACCCTGACCAAATTCATCCAACAGCGACTGAAATTAAAAACTTAAGGATGAACGCATGCAAGAAGTGCATTTTATATCTTGAGAGAGAATATCGATTTGAATTGACGAATATTTGTATCTGTGATATTCAATAACTATTCAATGCAAATCCACTTGAGCTTTTTTTTCTGATAGATATCGGTGTCGATGTGGACAATAATCCAACCGATAAAAGACAGAAGCTTATTTGAGCAAAGCTCAAAACATTTTCGGGCAAGACAACTTTCAATGGCGAATGCGTAAACAGGTCGATGGATTTGATATGAACCAATCAACCCTTCCTATCCCAATCAGGTAATACGAACCTGAAGAAAAGTGGCTGATCCACGAAGTTTTTCGAATAAACGCAGTGAGATTCGTCTCAACAATAAAACTTTCTTCTTCAATGAATCCAGATTATCCAGCGCAGTTATCGAATGACTGTACAGATCCGTCACTGTCGAAAGATCCGACTGAAATTCAAAGATACAACCAAACTCCAAACACATTTCTAGCGATTCAATTTGAGACCATTCATTAAGGGAAAATCCAAAAAGAAAAAAAAAACAACCATGTCAAATCCAATCGAAATGTTGTTTGCTGTTTTATGCAGTAACGAACGCTCCAATCGGCTCTTATTCTTTGAGGGAGAATTCACAACAGCTGAACAATTTTGCAATTTTTGCAATCTGTTATTGCTCACTCGTTGACATTTCGGATCCTTGTCACCGTAGCCGAATTTCGATAAGTCAGCAGCAAGTTTCTTATTCTAAAATATTTCAATAATTACTACCATATAACAAACAATTCAATTACTCTTGGAAAAGCATCTGGTCGAATTTTTGCAACTGTTGCAAGCGCATTGGTAATTTCAAAGGAAATCGTCAAATTATGGACAACCACAATGCGCAGAGATTAATCGAAACGTTTAAAATGATAACTTTGAATACTTCCTTATTAATGACAATTCTACTTTCCAGAATTTCTATACTAGTCCTGGAAAATTTAAAAACAAGCGGTAGTAACATACTAATGGCTGGCGATCTTTTAAACTACTTGACGGATGGAACAATTCGAAATGACGAATATTTAGAAAAATATTTTCATTCCGTCGCATCGAAAACATTCGACGAATTAAATACCTCAAGAAGCATGCGATCAACGTCCCAAACAGAGCTTTCATCATCATCATCATCAGATGAAACGATCAATTCACTCGTATCAAGTTCCTGATCGAATGCACCTGCCTTCTTCAACTCTCGAACTTCATTTTTTAACTCGTTGTTCACTTTCGAAATCTGCGAATAGTTATCACTTTGAGGGATGAGAANAACATTTATGGTAATAATGAGAGGTACAATAATAATAATTCTGATTTGAATACGGCGTGTTGATTGATACCTGTGAATTTAGATTTTGAGCAAGAACCAAATTAATCACTCGAACAACGACTCGATGAGCAAAATAAATTGTAATTAAGGAGATGCAACTCAAGTGTGTGTTATCTTCGTTCTGTTCGCCTTCATCACTTAACTCAGTGTCTATGTAACACTGTGAACCACTCGTGACGTACTATTCCAACAACACTTTACTAGATAATCTATCAACTCGACGTTGAAAAGTTCTTCAGTTGAAACAAAAATGTTTTCTTAATACAACAACTGCATTCAAGTGGCATTCAGAGAGAATCTGACTAAATCACAGTCGAAAAATTAAGACTGAAATATCTTTGGAATGGATGAAACCAAAAAAATTTAAGCCACCTTAACAGAAATCAAAAATTGATGAAACAATCCAAACCCATAAATAATTTTCCAAAAAAACTTTCATTTCAATCCAAAGAGGTCTATAAGTGTGAGATTCTTCGGAAATATGTGCTCTGAGTGATTTTGTTCTGAGAAAGAAAAAAATCGAACCGAATCACGACATATGACAGATATCAACGTTTCACAATGATAAACTCTGAATTCAAACGAAAACATACTCCAGCTAATTTTTCGAGCAACTTCTGCACAACCGGATTATCATCGGTAATGTGTTCGGACGCGAACGATGTGAATGTCTGCAAATGAATTAACAATAATACTTTGACCTCAACTACTTACGGTTGGCACCTCAATCACAGAAATAAATACTGAAATGAAAATCGAATAAACAATCAATCTAAAAACATACCTCTCGCGGTATTTCATTCAACGAAGAACTCATCTCAGATGGTTGTTTCCTTAACAATGCATTAATCGCTTTATCCCGCCTCTCAAGACATTGACGCAATTTATCCATTTCCACATCGGATTTTTTTTTCGTATTCATCAATTCCTGAGAAAAAACAGCCACACAATGAAGCCAAATCAACGCATTCATAATATTTTGCTTACAATTAGCACCAAAACTTGATTTCCTAAATAAAAAGTCTACTCACCCGATCATATGTATGAATTCTACTCAAACTTCATGCACCTCCCAATGGTTATTTTGAAATCAGCAATCATTTATCGATGAGAACACAAAATGATATTGGGAATGAATAAAAACGGAGTTGATTAATAGATATCATGTTCAACTATTGCATACACGACGACGCATTCAACACGAACGAAGTTTTCAAACAACTGCTATAATATTGTTGTGAAATCTAGAAGTGAAATCAAATTTACTTCTTTCAGAAGGTCGTGAGCGTTTTGTGTTTCTTTCAACTGTTGTTCCAAACGAGCTATCATTTGTTTCGATTGAATGTTCTTTGCACGTTCCTCATCCAGTGCCTTCAGCTGCTCATTCAACTGTTCGTTTCGCTTTCCTATTTCCACGTTTAGTGAATCCATTAGACCCTTCATTTGCTCCTCCTTAACGGTCATCTCAAGAATGGTTCCTTTTAGATCCTCAATCATCCTGTAAATTGATCACTGAAAGCTCATCTTATAGCCTGCATACAACAGAATTCTCTACTCTCCATCAATACATCAAGAAAGCTGTCAAACGTTGAATTGAATTCAGGCGTGCGACCGACCCTCTCATAAAATCAATCTATTCAGCCAGAACCAGTTAACTGATATGCTAATGAAATCGCTGCAAAATGGTACATACCAAATTTTCAAACTACTGATGATCAAGCGGATGATATGAGAACATTGGAATAAATAAATTAATCACATTACTGATTGCATCACTCACTAGAACATCAATACATTCTCGATCAGCAACTAATCTTTTACTCTTTCATTATTTCATTCTGAAGGGAACGTTGACAGTCAATGTAACATTCCATAGGACTCCTATCCGAAGAAATTATTATCTGCGGTTGAAGATGTCAAAAGTTTGCGGATACCTGTCACGATGGGACAAAATCGACATATTGCTCAGCGATGTATCTGCTTGACTTTCGGTACCATCATCATTGATCAATTGTCCATTGAGATTATTGAGTTGTGCGGTCAGTTGACTGATTTGTTGTATGTTTGAACGCAATTCGTTTTGTTGCTTAAATCAGAGAAATTCATTCATTTATTGAATTCGATAAATGATATTGTAAGGAGAATGAAATATAGTGAGCAATTAGCATTTCGGTGAGTTTTTGTTCATCGCATTCAAGTTCATCAGTTGTTGAAAAACGATGACTGAAATAAGAGAGTGAAACGAACAACGAGATAGTCTTCATTCAACGCATCCCTCTCTTCGACGAGTCTTTCGTTTCGTGACAACCACTCATCTCTTTGCCTTTCATGTATTCTCTTCAACTCATCCATATTCAGTTTCATCAATCGTAATTCTTCTTCTGCTTCCATTCGACGCGTCTCTTCATTGAACAACTTATTACGACATTCCAAATACTACAAATAAAACTGAATGTCCACTGATAACGTGAATATTTATAGCAACACTATGAACAATCGTCAAAATCTGCATAAAACAACATCGTTAATATTCAAACAAAAAATTAACTTTCAAAAGAAATTAAAAGATAAAAACTCAGACCTGAAAAACATTAGAAATCAGCAATGTTTGCAATGTTGAATAAATTACATAAAGCAAACGATTACTATTATACACAGCAAAAAATGATAGTAATACAGCTATTACAATGAATGAATTACATAAAGCAAACGATTACTATTATACACATCTAACATACAGTAATGTGAAAATGACCAACCTCAGCTGTGAAATCATTTCCATCCTGATCCTTTATTATTGGCAATTCTCGCTTCATTAGGAAAACTTCTTTCTGCAGTTCGAAAACCTTAGCTTTCAAGTCCTTATTCTCATCGATTTTGGCTTGGATATCAACATATTGACGACGTATCGTTGAACTGTTCGCTGAAACAATGAATTTTGAACATCATTCAAAAGTGCACTTGACATTTGCTCTAATCGAAAGATTTATTTATATGACATTCAGAATTATTTTTGATTGATAAGATTATCCACCACTACCCATTAGAATGAAACGAAGCTGGCTATTCTGAAGATGTTAGAATGAAGACGAAATTCTTTCGATATCCATTCGAATTCTATCATTTTCATTTATAAAAGATAATTAAAATAGTTCATCGATTGTTAACTTACTAGATAAAGCAAGCACAGGAGTGCTGAATGTCGTACTGCGCCCAGTTGAAACCACATTACTAAATAATCAGTACCGATTAGAATAGATTATTTTTGGTATGATATACAACCGCACAAATTCAATCTTTTTTGAAATATAATTTTGATTCTACGGAAAATAAAAAGATCATTAAATTACGTTGTAGAGTAGAGGTGGTACGTCGGTAAACTGAACAACAATTTATATCGAATGAATAATCATGTGAAAGACTCATTCAAAGAGTATACTGATGAGTGAACTTCTACTTGGAAGAATGAATAAATCTGAAGAAGCAGAATAGCTACAATTGTGGAGAATGAATGTGATAAATAGAAAGTGGAAGATTCAATCGTTCTTAATAGTATGTGGATAATAGCAACCTTGTTGACTGCAAAGCTCCATCACTGTGTGTCATAAACGGTGTACGTGAAGGAAACTATAAAAGTAATTAAGTTATTACTTGTTCATTAACATCAATACAATTATGATGATGTCAAACAATTAAGAAAAATTATTACGCTCATAATCATTTTTCAATTCATCAAACATTACTGATAAACATTAGAATGATAAGTGGTTCTCTGGACAGCATTCTACTGGAATACTAAAAAGCAATACCTGAGTAATCTTTCTAGCGAGTAACTGCTTAGCATCATCACACAACGATTCCTCACTTTCATCCTGTTCTGATGTTGATTTATTTATCGATTCATTGATATCACTCATTCTCTGACTTCGCAGTTGATAATAACAACGATAGCTGAAAATTAAAGAGGAATTAAAGAACTTCGTTGGATTTAAATATTAGCGATTGCAAACGCTGTCAGCACGCAATAAAAATCAACATCGCTTGGCACTTACGTTACTATGACAACGCATTACAAAATATATGTATGGAAAGCTTTTGAAATTAAAAAATCACCGAAAAAATCAAAAACATATTAGGACATCGGAAATCTTTTAAACATTCAGTTCCATGAAAACTATCAATCATAGGGGAACCCATTTTAGCTCTTCCTTTCCTAAATGTATTTTAATTGAATTAATAATGTGCGAATACATACAAGCCCAAAGTACAGATAATAAGGCTTATTTAATGCTTATTTATCATTCGTAAACCATTTTCGTAGAAAAATTCTTTAGAAATTTTTTAAAATGACTAACATAACGCAATCAGCGTAGTGTAAAGACAATTTAAAACATTTAACCCTTAAGCGAAGTTATTCCACTCTGTATCTCCAAATAACTTGCCCACTACACTGCACCCAAACAATGATCAGAAATGAATTAAAGGCAAGAATTTGGGAGTTTGTAATTTGAATTGTTTTTTGCTAACGAATGATCGAAACGGATCTCATAGACTTGAACAGTGAATAAGGATTGAATGATCAGTCAACATTTGATCGACAAATATAATCACTGATTATACGACAACATCAAAGTGCTATTGTGAAAAAATCTGAAATTCGCATTGAAAGGTGTCCTGAAATTTCACACTGAATACTATCACAGTACCACGAATCTGAAAGAATTCCCCAGTGAAAGGCACTCTGAAGTAGTTGTTAGGATTGATGGATAAAAACCCGTCCACTCACGAGTTGTTCTTCTAAAATACAGTCATTCCCCACATTTAAGTGTCCTATCATTACTACAAAACACCCTTAAATGTAGGCAATTGTAATAAATAATTAATTAAGAAATTGAAAATTAATAATCAATTGAATAACGCCAATTGAAATTTGTAGTTTCGCGCTTAATCTCAAATAGAGAGCATAATCGTTCGTCACTCATATGCCACAACATATTGCTAGTCGACCCATCGAAGCGATCAGTGTCATCTTCACAATGTTCAAAAACTATAGACAATCGTCACAGTGCCATACAAATCACCCGATTCCATTTATTGCACTGAATTCAGCGCTAAACAGAATCACCCGATTCCATTTGGCGCTGAGTTCGGTGTAAAGCATAGGCCCACGCAACCTGTTTCACCTAGAGGAAATGTTTCAGGTGTTCAAAAAGCAGATCGCTTAAAAAAGAGAGCAGAATTACCAGTTAGTCTTAGGAACCCAAGTTCGGGGAGTGCGAAATTGCCGGTGCCGGGCTGAGCCAAAGGTTTGATGGACCGAGCGGAGGCTTGCTGAGTAGGGCCGGACCAAGGCTTGTCGGTCGGGGGTAGCTCAGAATTATTCTTACTTTGACCCGGCAAGTTTTGATCTGGACCGGTAAGACCTAGCTCAACCCAGTAAATCTTGACCTGACGTAGTAAGTATCGGTCCGACTCGGTGGTCGGAACCGACAGTTCCAAAGCGCGTAATTATTGAAGTTACTTGGACCTTACGGAACTAAGAATTGCTTTACTCGATCCAGTGATTTATTAGAAAAATCGCGCTTTTCTAATGCAATTTGAGACGTCTTATAGATTTTGATTGTACTATAATTATATGAAGTGAATATTTATATTAAAATGGTTTGCACAATTCAGCTCTATGGATGATGCAACGNCGCGTAATTATTGAAGTTACTTGGACCTTACGGAACTAGGAATTGCTTTACTCGATCCAGTGATTTATTAGAAGGATCGCGCTTTTTTAATGCAATTTGAGACGTCTTATAGATTTTGATTGTACTATAATTATTTGAAGTGAATATTTATTAAAATGGTTTGCACAATTCAGCTCTATGGATGATGCAACGTATTCAGCTGAGAAAGCAATTGCGTATGATAATGCTGGTCGATATGATGCGGCCATTTATTTCTATGTTGTGAGTTTGGCTGAATTATCATTTATGCATTCAATTTCTTGTTTATTTCGTAGCTCATCAATTGGATTGTGTTGGTTGATTTGTATATATAAACGTTCCAGTACATAAAAATACAATTCCTGTCTGCCTAGTTGATAAATAATTTGCTTGTGGCAGTGACGATTTTGAAAAAATTCGTTAATTTTCGCCCCCTCGGTACCGTTCGGCTAAAT